ATTCGGTAAATGGTTGTTAGTCCAGCGGAGTGCGTGTGTTCGTTCCTTGTGACTCTCTCTGTCTTGCATATTTCTTCCTTCGTTCAGCTGGCGTATCCTACAAGTATGAATAACCAACCTGCTCAATTTCAGGCAATCACGACGTATCTTTTTTTATGTTTAGAGATGTTAAGAAATTCCAAGGTTTATTTTCCAATTCTTTGCGTGTCTACGTGTCTATAAAAAGGTTATTAAAAAAGGAGATACACTCGTCAGTATATATTTTTTAACTGCTGCGAACGGCTACCATTAAAAGTGCTACAGATAAAAATACTGTAGAGATACAATTTTCTTTTTCTTTTTATTACGACAAATAGTGGAGTATTACCATCCACTATCCAGCAATCAAATCGGATGTGATTATCCATGAATAACCAAAATTAAAACATCCAATATCTTTTTTTTTTTTGTATGCAATGAAACAGGAAGGCGCGTTAGGGATCCTTTACGAGAGGTACTGAAAGCACGGACTTTAGGTGTAGGCAATTTTTTAGTCTGTAATTTAAAAAAAAATTAGGAGAGACAAAAAGGAAAAGAAGGTGGGCATTCCACTGCTTAATTTTAATTTAAAAAATCGTTCGTGGCTGGCTTTGTATTCCAATATTTTCTTTTTTTTTTAATTTCAGGGCTATATGGTTGTGTCCTTTCATCTAAAAACTACAAAAAGGTATAAACTAATGAAAGATGTAACTTAAAAATTCAATTAGTTACAAAAAATAAACTGTGCGTAGTTTAAAAACATCGATAAGCCGGGATCGCGTGAGTGGAGTGCCTCTAAGAAAGGTTTTGTCCCTAGAATTTAAATGTCTTATATTTGAGACTATGATTTTATTGTTTTGTGTTACTGGAGCAAAGCGAAGGTGGAATTGATACCTGCAACAAAAGCTCTATATTTCGAGTCGCGAAACCACAACAATTTTAAGAAAAGCAAAAAAAAAAAAAAAAAATCTCATAGAAGGTTTTAGAAAATATCGGTGCGAATAGACGAACCACCCAAACACTTCCATTTCCTTCCTAGACGCCTGCATTGAAATCTTTAAGGACCACAATTTTCGCGTTCCCTGAAATTTCGCAAATTTTTCAATTCGCGAAAATTCGCGAATATTATGGGCTCGCGAATATTAGAGTTTTACGGTATTCGCTTGCGATGTTTTTCACTTTACACCAGCTTATTGGCACTAGCGGGACACAAGTACACTCGCACGCACAACCACTGACCAAGAAACTCCTATGTTGCGCTGTAATTTTAAAGACGAAAGCGAGCGTTACCTTTCAATCTCTCTTTCGCAAAACTTGATGACGTCGCTAGGGGTCGCATCCCCCCCCTCCCCCTCCCCCTAGTGACGGTATTTGAATGTGGCTCATTGATTGGACCCGAGCATTGTGTGAACACTCGATTTGGTCTCGTGATCATAGCTCGACAAGCATTCGGGCAGTGGCCCGTGTCCGATTGCTGCGATGACGACAATAGCCGAACCATTAAGGCCTGTTCACACATGCAGCGGAGCGCTACAAGCATAGCGCTGTCCTCGCGCTAGGCACATGCCGACGGGAGCGTCCACCAGCTTTGTATCGCGCCGTCAAAACTGTTGCTCATGGCAGACGATAAGTATCTGATGGCACGTGAGCAGCGCTACATCAGCGCTTCGCTGCATGTGAGAACCGGCCTTTACAATGTCTGGAACTCAGCGCGTGTCCTCTGCTTTGCCAACCCCAGAGCGTGGCTGTCATCGCATTGGCGGCGTATTGTCACGAATGGCAATTGATCAGTCGACGAAAACTGAAGCAAACTAAATATTTAATGGGGCGAACGTGTGCCCAAAACTAAATAGAAAAAGGTTAGCGTCGCAGGCGTCAAAACAGCAGGATCGAACGCTTGGGCGAGACTGACTGCGGATCGCTACGCGGAGCCCCTTATGTACACGCGTTGGCTTCTGGAACGATCGGCGTAGAAGGTTTGGCGACTAGAATATTCGGACATCGAACAAGCAAGAGGGTTCTTGAATTCACCAGAACATTAAACTGGAAGAAAAAATAAAAGGCCCGTAACTCCCAGGGATCGAACCTTAGGCCTCCCCACGAAAGTCAAGCGCGATAACCACTCGGCCACGCACGAACTCGCTCGCCGACGCGCGTGGCAATATAATCCTTCCAGATCACGTGGCCGCTTGCTCTGGCTGCGACTTAAAACAAAATGAATGCTGTTCGTTTTTTGTAGTTGTTTTTGTGTGTGTGTGTGTGTGTGTCTCTGTGTTTTTGTTTTTGTGATTTTTATTGCGTGTGGTGAAAAACGAACCCGTGTTTCATAGGTCATTAACGTCAGTGATTCGATCTAAGCGGTATTTGCGTAAAGTAAACAGATTGTTGCATCTCCCGTTTAAGCTCCAGAAGCTACCCCGCAAGTTGTCTCCAAAAACATTTTGCAGGGTTGTTTGTTTGTTTTTTACCGCAAAAATAAACTACGTATGCCGAACACCGCCCTAACGTAGCGCTAGCGGTCTTACTCCGATGCCAAGGTTTCAGCACTAACCGTTGCTTTATTTATAAATTAAACGTGAATTCCGTATATTATCACTGAGAAAATGACGGTCGACACAGCTCTCGGGTACGTGCAGCCCTATGGATCGAGTTACCAAAAACAGGCCTCATTTTAACCACGGAAATTTCCAGAAACTCATTTAAAGCTTTTGAATAAGATAATCGTTTGTTGTCTGAAACTTTGGCATCTGGATCGGACTGCTAGTGCCACATTTTGGCGGAGAACGATCGTTCGGCGATGCGTGGTTTATTCGCAATCCCATTGGTTACGACCGCAGCCAATGAAAGTGCGGCATGAGCCGATAAGAAAGCCACGGGACCAATCAGGGACCAAGAAGCGCGAACAGGTTGAGCCACGCCCTGCCTTTCTTAATCTGTCCCTGACCACAGTCTGTCGCATATACAAAGAAAAGGGGACGGGAAGTCCCTCCCACAAAGTTCGTAACCCGCAGTGATTGACGGTTTGCTCCTCTCCCCTCGACTCTTCTCTAGCATTCGCTCAGCTAAAATGGAAACAATGGAGGGCTTCCTGGCAACGCCGCCTAGAAGACAAGGCCGTGATCCTGACGTTTCTGCGTCACCAGAGAAGTCCATCGCTGGACACAGATTGGAAACCAGTGCTACGTCAGCGCTCGGCCTCCTGTCAAGCTCGAGCCGAACGTTGACGCAATCGTCGTGTCCAATCGGCGACCAGCGTGGGCCTTCGCTGACGACGACGTCTCTATCGGCACTACGTCTTTGTTTTCTAGTAGGTGGTGTTCCTGGGGGGAGAGCCGCTCGACCTACACCAAAAAAAGAAAAATAAAACAAAACATGAAGAGGGCCCAAGTCCGTAAGACAACCCTGAAAGGAGTCTCTTTAAGATCCAAAATAACAACTAACCTTTTGCCAAAAAAAACCGGGGCTGTTCTAGTACGTTTTAAAGGGATACTGAACCGAGATTTCGAGCTCACAAAACAAGGCAGGACGGATAGGCGGGACGCTGAAAAACCCTAAAACATCACTCATACAGCGATATCTCTAACGGATCGCCGTATTTTTGCAAAAGTGGGCGATTGAACACGGCCGACGAGACAATTGACGTCGCGACTGTCATTCCCTCTCCTCCTCGCTACGTCCCGTCGAGCTGGTAAACTCAAGCGAGGAGGAGAGAAGCGACCCCGCTTCCCCTCATTCTCAAATGTTCCAGGAGGACCGTGACGTCATAGCCCTCGCTTGATCGCGCCCTTCTTTTCCAAAAGTACGGCCATCCGTTTGAGATATCGACGTGTGAGTGATGTTGTGGAGTTTGTAGCGTCCCGTTCAACGCTTCTGCGGCCTTAATTTTCAATATCAAAATTTCGGTTCAGTATTCTTTTAAGAAGTTGAATCTGTTCTGGTCGAAACGTCGGCTGCCACACTGAGCTGCTTTTAAAAGGAGGCACATCTTTCACACCGTTTCAAAGCTCCGTTATACTCCGACGTTGAGCGCAGCGAATGCAGCGTAGCGCAGAACGTGCGCGCTTTGATTGGCCGGCGAGCAGGAACTCGATATCTGCGACCAATCAGCGCCCGTGTGCTCTGCGCTACGCCCCGTTTGCTACGCTCAACGAAAGAGTATATTAAGAGAGCCTTAACTGTAGATACAGCCCGGCGTGCAGCTTTGCCACCCGGCAGCTGTGCACATTCTCGTTATGGTACCTGCCAGGAGCACTTTAATCCGCAATGACACTGCCCGTTGTACATCGTACAAAAGACAACGTCTTCGCTGCAGAGATGTGTGCAGAATTATCAATGGGCACGCCTGAAGCATTGCAAACAGTTTTTCTGTGACAATCTGCAGCAGTAGCGTCGTACAACAGACAAACACTCATCAAACAGTATCTGCAGACCCTATTTTGTAATATTTAAAAGATTAAAAAACACCAACTGAAACATGGACGGAGTAAGGAACACGTACGATAAGGACAGGTGCTACTTACAACTGATTTTATTAGAAAATGTGTTGTAAGTAGCGCCTGTCCTTGTGGTATACGTGTTTCTTATTTCTTCGGTGTTTGAGTTCGCGCTTTTTAACCTTTTTTTTTAAGTTATACGAGCCAACTAGACACAACAAAAGTTTTATAGCTATTTTGTACGATGTATTAAGCGGGGTGACCGACGCTTAAGAGACTTTCGGAGCACCCTGAAGAAGTTGAATCTCTTCACGAACAATCGGCTACCACTTTGCAGCTGCTTCCAGAAGGAGGCACGTCTTCATGGCGTTCCTTCACATTCAGGCAAAAAACGCCGAGTCACAGGCCCCGGGCTGTGGACGCAGGCACGTCGTCTGATATTCCGCAGGGGAGTGTCCACCGCGCATGCTCAGAACGCGTTCCCACAGTTCAGTACAATGATGGCAGCGCGCAGAAGAAGGCGCATAGTGGAATGGTATATATGTATACCTTCTCGTATGGCCTGGAGGAGGGCGTCCCCGATCTGGACGTCCTCCTGGCGCAGCAAAAGCTCGACGATCTCGACATTCTCGTTGTCGACGGCGATCTGGATGGCGCTCCGGCCCAGGATGTTAGTGCAGTTCACGTTCACGGGCTGGGGCGGCGACAGGCATCGGATCATGGTGTGGCGGTCGCCCCGCTCCGCGGCCTCCAGGAAGATGCGCTCCTGGCCGACAGATGCAGAAAGAAAGGGACGCCAAATTGCATGCATCGCATCTGGCAACACGCCCCCTCTCCCTCTATAAGGTCTTCTGCAAGTCCATGCCGTGTTCAAGGACATCTAACAAATAAACGAGGAGAAGCGGTAGGCACCAGGATATGCCTACCTACGATCCTCAGCAACTGAACTACCTATTTTCACTAATTAAGAGGCTAATTAACAAAATTTACTTAATTAGCTGACTGATCGTTATGACTAGCCCCCTAAGGTTCTGTAAAGCTTAAAAACGCAAAAAACACCCTCTATTTTCTCGCTTCGCGATTGTTTCTTCGACGTTTTTACTGGCTAATGCTGCAGGGAGATATAATGAGATGCCCCGGGACCCTGTCCCTCGTACTGCGTCGCCTTGTCTTTCGATTTCGGACGCGTTTCTCGACGTCTCCGGGCCCTTTCTCGAGAACCATGCCCGACTCACCTTGGGGTCCATGGAGGGCCCGTCCTTGAGAGGTTCCAGCGGTATCGGGATGCGGAAGCAGTTGGGAGACTGCGGGGACTGCCGCACGGTCGTCTGCGGCCCCGGTTGAGGGGACGCGCCCATCGCGGACCTCATGACCCTGCGCCCGGGGCTCAGCTGGTCTGCGCGGGGCCCACGTCCGGCTCGCCTCTGGGGTGTCCCGCAGCCCGCTTCATGGCGGCGCCCCGTCCGACCTGCAAGAACAACAAGGCGAACCCCGTTCACACGACGGTCAGAGTGTATACTGACGACGCCCGCGACCGAAACCCCGTCGCTGTGGTCGACCTTCCACGATCGGCACAAAATGCTCTCCCTGCGACGTCCGAAGTGCGTGTCGAACTCTAAGTTTATTTAATGGTGATTAGTGTAATTGTCGCGCTGTCCACTTCGACGGTGTTGGTTTAAGGACGAATGACTCCGAGCTTCCACCGTATACTTCTCAGACGCACCGTCGAAATTGTCATTGGCAGTTGATAACCCTGGTCATGACGTCACAGATAGAAACCATAAAGCTGCGGTAACACTGCTGATGCATCATAGTAACGACAGCCTTCATACACTGTGTGAGGCATATGTTTCTTCCTCGTATGACGGTCAGCTGTCACGTGGTCAAACAAAAACTGTCTGCAGATGTCTCACAGATGTATGAAGCAAGCATGCCTCGGAATTGTGCTTGAGGAGTCTCCGCAGATAATTATGTCATCGTATCCGCAGAAAAACTCCGTGACTCATTTCATAATGTATACGAGCAATGTGACTTCTGGTTAAGAGGAAGCCACCGATGCAAAGCGGGAGATTTCAATAATTGTTCTTGGTTAAGGCGATAAAGAGAGAGTTTCAGTAGGCAGCATACGCTGCAGGTTGCGGGTCCAGTGTGCGTAATGCGTGCTTTAAAGTGACGGCACGAGCTCCCGCTGGCAACGTAGAGCTCTAGCGTACGGTAAAACTAAAGCTCTTTAGTGTTCTTATATCACCGCCATTTTGAGACAGCTTCGACTAGATGTCTCTGCTATTTGAAAAGAGTTTATTACCGCCAACGTACCTCAGTGTACACAAGATGTTTCAAAACGAACAAGCTTTTGTTTGTTCTCGTTGCAGTATTTTTTGTTCATCCCCCCTCCCCCCCCCCCTCCCAAAAAAAAATAAAAAATATATATATATAAATATATACATATATACGTATTTTCCGGACTGTAGTCCGCTGGGGCAAATTTGGGGTCGAAAATAAAAGTTATTGTTCAGATAGTCCGCAACAGTCCATAATCCGCACGCCGTGCATAGTACGCACCGGGTGTTTAGTCCGACACGGAAATATTCTTCTACACGGCACACCTCGACAAATGTCTGCTTTTTTAGCTCACAAAGAAGCTTGTATTATGCATGAATCACCATTAACATACTCTTCCAATCACAAAATTCGCCATGTCTCGTCACAATAAACGATCTTGCGAAACAACATTTCTGTAAAATCCGCAGGCGTAGATAGTCCGCACAGGCTAAAATTTAAACTTGTAAGCATGTATAATCCACAGGCTATAGCCCGGAAAATACGGTATATATAACATAAAATCTAATATTCTTATGCCCCCCACCCTAAAAGATATACGCTCCTCAGCTACTATAGGAAAATGAACAAATTTGCAACTATTATACGACAGCAGAAGAGTCCTCAAATACCAAACGAAGGGCCCGCAGCTACTACATTACAATAGACAGGCCTTCAAACATCATAGGAAATATCTGCAACTACTATATGACAACACACTGCCGTAATTTCCGGACAATACTCGGCGGAGAATACATGTTTATTGAACTTTTACTGGATGCAGACTACACAAGGATTTGTTTTTTCTAGATTCTTTATGACGCGACGTGACGAAGTTTGTGAATGACAGAGTAAGTTAATGACGATTTATGCACGATACAAGCTTCTTGGTGATCGAATAAAGCAGGCGTTTGTCAAAATGCGCTGTGTATAAGAAGCTTCTACGTGCCGACCAAGCACCGAGTGCGGACTCTAGTCGGAAAAATACGGTAGTTCCCAGCCACTATACGAATGATCAGCGACTACTACCATAACACACAAATCCGCAGTTATTCCTTTCGAAGGATCCACAAGCAACATACCACGGCGGACGACGCGCCATCACACGACAACAAAAGCAGCTAAAGGTGCGCCTTATGTAAGGAGATCGCGGCTACCCAAAGAATCCCAATTACTGCACTCTGTCCGCCGCTCTTCAGCGCCGGTGGACACGATGTCGGGGTCCAATCAATGGACTCGGGCGGTGTATGGAGTAAGGAGGAAGAGGGGAGGCTTTCAGTGGTGGCACTCCGCGGGGCAACAGATAGTTCACTGCGAGCGTGACCCATAAATATTGGACTGGAAGACGGCAGACCCCGACGACAGAGTCCGTCCATGCGGAGACAAAGAAGGTAAGGACGGTAGAAGAAGGAAAGGAAGGACAACATTTTTCATTCTCTCTCTCTCTCTCTCTCTCAGTGCGACCCAAAAGGTGGGTCCACGATCGAAGAACGGGGTGAGGTTTATTTGCAAAAACACAAAGGGAGGGAGAGAGAGGAAACGTCGACGTCGGTTGCGGACAAACAGACCCGATATTTGTTTTTGCATTCTTGTTTACTGTTGTTTTTTTTTTCTTCGTTCCCGAACGTGCGAGGTGGGAAGAAAGTTGGGCGTGACGTCACGAGCCGCCGTTATGGTTTATCTCAGTCCTCTGCAATTGTTTGAGAAAGCAATTAGGGGGGCGTCGGAAAGAGAATGGTCTGGGTGATTTGTAGGGCGGTTGCTGCGGATTGAATTACTCCACTCTCTCTATATATATATTTTTCTCTATCTCTCGCTCTCTTTCTCTCTCTCTCTCTCTTTATCTAGAAAACAAAAAGGTTGGGTTCGGAAAGTAATCTTAATTGAAAGCAGTTGCTCATGCACTCAGTAGCGACTCCACCCTGAAAAACCGCACCATATTCAGCATTAAAAGACGTGGTAATTTTCATCATATAAATTCCACACCAATTTCTTTTTACGTGCGATTTTTACTGGACAACAAATGCAAATGCATACAGCATCGTCCTGCCGGTCGTGCCCAAAGCAGCCCGAGGCCCCTCTATACTGGAAATTAACGACATCATTGAAAGATCGCCGCTTGCTATCTTGGGACAATCACGATAACGGGCGAGTGCGAGAGGGCAAGAAATAAAGATAAAAGTCTGTGCGTTGAAGTAGGAGCAGTGAGACTGAGTGGAAAGAGGGACTTTCCAATTCGCATCGGAGCTTATAGGCCGACCCGAATCGCGAACAACGTCACGGCTCTCAGCATCCTTCTTTGTGGGGCGTGTTCCCTGGGCTAAATCAGTGAAATCCAGAAAGCGGACCGTGACAGTGCGTTTTTAGCCTGCGTGTGCGCCTTTGCGTGTCTTTTTGGGCATTCCACCGCACTCCGACTTCCGAATAAACCGAGCGCAGGAATTCCACCCACTATTCATGAGACCGCCTGCTACCGTCATGGTTCGCCTACTCTCATGACGGCGGGCAAGTCCCAGAAAGCAAAAACAAGCACTAAGAGTGTGCGCGCCGGGGCAAAGGGGAGATCCCGTTGCATAATAGAGTAAAATCACTAGATGAGGGAGAACGACACAGACGCCTTTTGAGACTTATTTGTCGTGTCGTCCCTCGCTCTCTCTAGTCTCAGGGGCGTAAGTCTATCATGTTCAACCATCACCAGCTCGCTTGCGCCCTAACTTTATGTTTATTCGATCTCGTTAACATTTTTTTTTTACTCGGGGACAGACGACGGCACAGTATAATGAACTCAGCTTTCGCAACACCACGTTGGTTTTTAAGACCTCACTCACGACACGTACCTTGTTTGCATGTTCCCACAAATCCCGGAGAAAAGCTTACCAGAAAAAAAGCTCAACGGAGGAAAACTAAGCAGAGAAAAGCTCACCGCACAACCCGGGGTATGCGGAGAAAAGCTCACCGGCCATTGAGCGTATGCGAAGAAAAGTTCACCAATTTTTCTTCTTTTTATATAGAAGTTGTTGGATCATGCATTATATAAATCAATTTATTATCATTAAAATTTCAGCTTTGTAAAAAAGAAAATATCCTTGGTTGTAAAATTTATTAAGCTTAATGGGTATACTCCCCACGCAGCGAAAGCCTAACTGAAAACTTTATGAACTTGAAGAACAGGAAAAAGTTCGAAAGCGTAAAAATATCTGCTTAAAACCTCAAAAGCACACCTGTAAATGCCGAAAATCCGAAAGTGCATGCGCAACAACGCGGTGCCTGAAATTCTCTTTGAAGCTTTTGTTAACCTTTAAAAACAGGATAGGACGGTCAGGATGTCGAGGTTTCTTTCTTCCACGGACATGCATGTTTTCTAGCCGTTCGTGCTGGTGTTTCCACACGTTGCCTTTGTGTGATAGTGCCCTTCTACGAAGAACCACCCATGACCTTCAGAGCTGCACACTGTCACCGCTGTTACTCGTGACCTATATAAGAACTAGTCTTCTGTAAGGTAGACAATTGGGCGAGTTGGTGAAAGTTATACATGATGAAAACCGCTCAAACAACGAAAACGGAGTGAAGACGCAAACACGACAGGACGAAGCTCTTCTCGCAAATAATGTTTATTAACTAAAATAACAGAAAGAAAACAGCGCCGCCCCCCCCCCCCCCCCCCCCCAAGCCGACACTGATTACATCAACAAACACCTACTTATGTATCAGGCACCGCACAATCGTCGGAGCTGAAATGGTTCAAACACCACTATTCATATTAGCTCGCAAACGCAAAATAACTTTAACCTTTAACCATTTAATCCGCATTGAAAACCCACTTTAGCTCTTGCGGGTTGTATAAAATGTCTTCAAAATATAGATGACGTGCTCAGGAAAGCAACAAGGCTCCTGACACCTCAAAAAAAAAAAAAAAAAAAAACACCCAGGCGCTTCCTATAAAGCGCAGCAGTTTCCTTCGCCTACACTTTCATTCGTATTGTATCGTCAGCATTTGGAAGAAACCGGGTTAAAAAAAAAAAAAAACGACCCCCGTCTCAAGTATATGTATATCTTCTTGCGAAAGCTTCTTTTGAGAGAAGCGAGACCGGCCAGCCAAAAGAGAGAACTGCCACTCGTCGCTCGACCTGCACCGTCAAGCGCAGCTGC